ACCTCTTGCCTTCGCACCATGCACAGAAAAAGCGCAAAGAAAAGTGATTACTATCTGCTGGCAGAAAACCATGTTTGGTTGTTTAATGGCAAGTAAAACGAAAGTCATTTAAGAAGTTGGCAGCAGGAATGTAAAATATTTACTTTCCAGGTAAATTCCGTAAGACCATCACATCGCCATTTTGCAAGAGGCACCTGAGAAATCAACATGTAAATATAGTACAATTATTTATCGAAGAAAAATCTCGTAAAAGTCTTCTCGACCTTAATCATCAAGCTTCATAAAATTTACAAATCTTGGTGGATCACTGCCAAAACTGTTTCTTGGGATATATCGCGACACAAACTGACGGGCACAGTTGAATTTGAAGCAAATGTTGAAAAGGAATATTCTTCTCCTGAACTAGAAGAAGAAGCGACATTTCGACACTGGCTTTTGAAGACCATGCCGAATCCGATAAGTATATGAGAGTCTGCAAGGAAAACGAATTTTCTCTAACGGCACGAAAATTGCTTTTACGAGGAGAAATGACAATTTCACTCTGATCCGGATATACGACCTGAAAAGTAATAATAAAACGTACAGAGCAACAATGCAAGTATGACTCACTTTTATTTTGATCAAATTCAAATAAGATTCCGGGAATCCAGAGAAGTTGGCTGAGAATGGAATGGCAACTGCTAACTGACTGAAGAACTGGTGCACAGCGCGTGAGGAGCTTTTGGGTTCAACGATAATCGCAGAGGTTCTGTAAACATTCTCGGATATGGCAAATAAAGGCAGGGGGCGCCTACTGAGCACCAACACCACCTCGTGAATTGCAGAAAATTTCGTTTCTTCGCCAGAGCCATTCAGACACTTACGAATAGCGGATATGATATTCCGAAACGTTACGTCGGTTACGCTGTCCAGACTGAAACAACCAATCATTAGGAAAGCCTACCATTAAAACTTGAACATGCAGATTGACAAACTAATAAAAAATAAGTTAGAACTAAAATGTATTTAAATATTCAAAATGTATTGACATCGGATTGAAACGGAGAAAACGTACAGAGTAAAGAGAGGAAAATTCATTTCTTACTTTACACCGATATTGCGGTAGTGTAAGATAAACGAAAATCTTACACTAGGCAAACCGCAAAATTGCATCGTCTCTATACTTCTAGTGACCTAGGGGGATCATTTAAGCAGGTCTCGGCTCCATGGTATTTATGCACCTGCAGTGCATAAGACGCAAAATCTAGTCTCTTAATTGGGTTGAACAAATGAATGTTCAAACCAAAACACCATGATCCGTAGGCGAAAAAATGAAAACATAACCCGAATCTCTTGGGGTAGACTCAATGAGTGGAGTCTTCGGCATTGCCGTCGATGCATAATATTCAAAATGTATTGATACCGGACTGAAACGGAGAAAACGTACAGTGCAAAGAAAGAAAATTTTCTTACTTTACATCGATACTGTGAGGGGGCAAGACAGATGAAAATCTTACACTGAAATGTACCGCATGAACTAAATTCTGATTAAGGAAATTACGGTAATAAAGTTGAACTGCTATGCTGGCGAACATAGTCAGGATGCCAGAGGAAACCCATAAGAAAGACTTTCGGTTGAAGCAGCAAGGTTGTCAGCAATCTTTGCCAAAGGAATTCAAAAACAGATTCATACATTATGCCTCTCTCAATCCAAGTCATTGATCTAGTAACAATCAAGTCCTGTCCTGTCATCTAACAGGGGATTCACTATATAAAGCAGGAAAAGATGGTTAACCATCTCGAGATCATCATCATCATCTTCCTTGACCGCTTCTCCTTTCAGGTCGCTTTAGACAGTGTTTCCAACGTTCCCGATCTTGTGCCAGAGCCTTAGCTTCGGCAGAAAACAGCTGCAGTCTGTAACAGACTCCTTCCATATATTTGCACCAGGCAATCTTGGCCGTCCCCTGGGCCTTCTGCTGGTCAGTTGCGCAAAAAAAAACAGCTGCTTAGCCTTCCTTTCTGAAAACAATCGCCACATGTTCCGAAACGATCGCAAGCATGACGTCTCAATCTGCAGAAGCAGCGGCTGTACACCAAGGCTGTCGCGGATGACTGCATTCCGGACCAAATCGAGACGCGTAAGGCCAGCGACTTGTCTCAGAAAGCCCATTTTAGCCGCTTGTACGCAGGATCGAAGCTTCTTGGTCATGGTCCATCTCGAGATGTAAATTTTTGACGGGTCTAGCACCGCGATCGAGTACTTCTTCAAATCTGAGTGACGACTACTTAGAAAATGAAAATATTCATATACTGCAAATATATGGTAGAAGTCTGCTCCAGACTCCAGTTGTCTTCTGCTGAGGCTTAGACACTGTGACACAGTATCGGGAAGGTTGGAAGCTCTGTCTAACGCGTCTGCCTCCGCAACCCGAAAGGAAAAGCGGTCATAGAAGATGAAACAATTTCAATAACCATTTTAAATACTATCTTTCGGATTAACTACATTCAGTCAACTTCAATAATCGCTATTACTTTCAGGTCATGAAAGAAAACGCATCCAGCAGTGTTTCCAACGAGCCTGATCCTCAACCAGCGCTTGTGCTTCAGCAGAAGGTAACCCGGTTCTGGAGAAGAGTGTCAAGACACTTGTCCCAGGTCATTCTAAGCCGTCCCACTGGTGTTCGGCTGGTTGGATGGACAAATAGTAAATGTTTACCTTCCTTCCTGGAAGCACTTGAAAAAATTACCAAAAATTCGCAGATATGACTTTTCAATCGGAAGAAACAGCGGCAATACATCAAGGTTTTCTCGGATATCCAGATTCCGGACCATGTCGAGACGTGTGATCCCAGGATCGCGTCTCAGAAAGCGAGCTGCACTCCAGACTGAAAGTTTTTCAGGAATGAACCATGATTCATGACAGTAAATGATCATCGGGCTGAAGAGCGAATCAGCCAAAGTCAACTTAGCTTTCAGACTCAACTCTGCTTTCGTCACAGTGGTTCGAGCAAATCCATGCGGAAAGCCGCTGGACACTTCAATTCGCCGGTCGGTCTCTTCCTATTATTTTCTATCATCATTCAACATGAGCCCCGACGAAGTTGAACTTCTCTGTTCATTTGAAGAGAGCAAAGGGCAAGAGAACGAGAAAACTCGAGGCCTTTCGTTTTATGTACGTTAACATACATGCCGGTCAAGTTGCACTCAGCTGTGAACCTTTCCAGAAAGCGCTAGAGATCAGTTTCAGAAGCAGTCAACAAAACAGCAAGGTCGTCCTCAAACAGAAAACTTCTCGTTTCCATGCTCGTCGCCCTGGCTGCGCTTGACTGTCCAATCAATTTATAATCGAAACAGGACAGCGGAAGGAAAGTAGCCTTGAAGAAGAAAAGTGCCAATTTTGAAAGGCCTCGAGTCAACGCCATTTACTCTGACACAGAATCGACTTTCAATACATGGACTGCAACAGAATGACTCGAAGCAACTGACCCGCGACCTCATAAGTTTGTAGGCACAACCGCGGCTTCTTGTATGGGATTCGGTCATAGGCGTTTTCTAGTTCAACCAGACTTATGTAAATCAGATAAGCTAACTGCCATGATTTCTCAACAATGTGGCGAACGGCGAAGATCTGATCTGAGATGCGTCGGCTTGACTTGAAACCATATTCCTGTTGTAGTATCTCAGAATCAGTTATTTCGTGCACCTTCTTTCTAACACCTTTGAGTATACTTCTTCCCTGGCTGAATAAGACTATCAGTGATAATTTTGAGCAGTTTCCATGGTATTCCTTCTAGAAGACGGGTATTACTATCCTAGTCCTTAGTCACAACAAGGTTAGTGACAGGCTGTCACTTTTCAAGCTTTGTACAGACTCTGTGACTTCGTATACTAAAAGACTAATACACGTTGCTCACTGCTAATCAAGCTAGCTAGCTAGTTTTTCTGCGGTTGCACAGGGTTCAGGAGTTCCTAAAGTACACTCGCCATCACTAGAACTTGTCTTCCTTTTTTGTAAGGAGTCCTGGTAGTCTTTCAGGACTATTAGACGGCCCTTCTTTACATCTGGGAAGCGGCGGATGGCCTACCAAAATACTTGTTTACTGTGCGGAAATTCGACATCAGCGCCTCAGGAATCGACATTCACTACCGTCCTGCGTTATTTGTCGCACCGCATTTGAGATTAAGGCTCTTTGCTTCCACGCAACCTCTTGAATGCGGATTTCTTCTCGCTGAGAGCCCCTGAACCTCTGGTGTCCACCAACAATTTTCAGATAACAGGTTAATCTGTTCAAAACCGCAGCAATAAGAAGCAGCTCCAAATATGCTGGGACAAAAGAGCCTCCACTCGATTTCCATGTCAGCCGTCATTGCTGGAACCTGTCTTAGCATGCTGTTGGCAAGTGCTGCCCTCATATCCCCAAAAGATTATGTTCAATAATAAATTAAATAATCTTCATCTTCCGTCACCGCTTCTCCTTTCCGGTCGCGGAGGCAGACATGTCAGACAGAGCTTCCAACGTTCCCGATCTTGTGCCAGAGTCTGAGCATCGGCAAAACACAAATGGAGCCTGGAACAGACTCCTTCCATATGTTTGCACCAGGTTAATCTTGGCCATCCCCTGGGCCTTCTGCCAGATGGATTTGAAAGGAACAGTTCCTTAGCCTTCCTTTCTGGAGGCATTTGCAACACACGCCCAAGCCATCGCAGCTGTGACTTCTCAATCCGGAGAAGCAAAGGCTTTATACCAAGGCTCTAACAGACGTCAGTATTCCGGACCATGTCGAGACGCGTAAGACCATCGACTCGCCTAAGAAAGCCCATTTCAGCAGCTTGTACATGGGATCGAAGTTTTTCAGTAGTGATCCACGATTGACCGTAGGTAAGTATGGGGGTGAAGATCGACTTGAACATTGAGAGCTTAGTTTTCAGACTTAGCTTTGCTTTAGTCACAATGGCTCGGGCTAGTTCACGCAGAACGCCACTAGCTACTCCAATTCGCCGGTCGATCTCTTCTTCAAATTTTCCATCACTAGGAAATACAATTCCGAGGTACTTGAACTTCTCGCCTGCTCCACTGTCTCTCCGTTAATCTAAAGAGAACAACGAGCAGGAGAACGAGAAGGCACTAGGCTATTCGTTTTAGATGCGTTCACACGCATGCCGGTCACGTCGCACTCGGCTGCGAAGCTTTCTAAGGAGTACTGAAGATCAGTTTCTGAAGATGCTAATAAAATAAGATCGTCTGCAAACAGCAACCTTCACGTCTTCACATCTCCTACACCGATACCCTCATCGCCTTGGCAGCTCCTGACTATTCTATCCATGTACAACACAAACAAGGATAGAGGGCAGAACGCAGCCTTGGCGGAGACCAGTGCGAAGGTTGAATGGTTTCGACTTAATGCCATTAACTCTGACGCAGCACCTGCTATCAAAATACAGTGATTGGATGGCCTTTAGCAGCTGACCACCAATCTCGTATGCACGAAGGCATATCAAAAGACTAT